CTGCGCCTTCGCCGAGCACCAGGCCCTGGCGGGCGTCATCGAACGGGCGGCAGCTCTGTGCGGGGTCGGCCGTGTCCAGCGGTGCCATGACGCCCATCGGACTGCCAGCCCAAGGCGCTGCCGGTGTTGAGCATCGGCCTCGGAGCCGCCGACGAGGGCGACGTCCGCGCGTCCGGTGCGCAGCAGCCACAGCGCCTCGCCGATGGCCTGGGCCGACGACGCGCAGGCGTTGGACACCGCGAACTGCGCCGCGCGCAGCTGGTGGCGCATGGCCAGGTGCGAGCCGGCGGAATTGGCCATCACGCGCACGACGGTGTACGGATGCACGCGCGGCGGCGTGGCCGTGAACATCTGCTGGTAGGACGACTCCAGCGACACCGACCCGCCCAGGCCCGTGCCCCAGGCCACCGCCGCGCGGTCGGGCTCGGGCGCCGTGGCTGGCAGCCCGGCTTGCGCCCAGGCCTCGGCGGCCGCCTGCATCGCCATCAGGCTGTGCCGGTCGTACAGGTTGCGCTGCGCGGGCGGCATGTCCGCGCCCAGCGGCTCGGTGACGACGGCCGCGGCGAAGGGCTTGAGCGCATGCGCCTCGCTGCCCGGCTGCGCGGTGATGCCGGAGCGGCCGGCCAGCAGCGCGTCTGCCAGCGTGTCTGCACCGGCGCCCAGTGCGCTGACGGCGCCCAGCCCGGTGATCCAGACCTGGGTCATCAGGCGGCCACGAGCGCCGGCGTCTTGGCGGCGAGCAGTTCGTCCACCAGGCGGGCCAGGCCGGCCAGCGTCGGGTTCTGCAGCGCGCGGTCGTGCTCGATGCCGATGTGGAACTGGTCTTCCACCGTGAACATGAAGTCCACCAGGCCGAGCGAGTCCAGGCCGAGTTCGACGAAGGGCATGTCGACCTTCTCGGTCAGGGATTCGGCGCCGAGTTCGCGCTGGGCGAGGGTGCAGAGTTGGTCAAGCGTGTTGCTCATGGAGGGCTCCTGGCGTGGTTTGGGAGAGGCGGGCCAGCGGGTGGATCCGCAGGAGGAAATCGCGCACGGTGCGCGTGACGGCGATGCGCTCGTTGTCGAGCGTCAGCATGTGATAGCTGTCGTGGAACCAGTGCACCTCGGGCTCGCTGCCCAGGCGGCACTGCAGCTCGCGCACGCTGCGCGGGCCGGCCACGTCGTCTTCGCTGGCGTGCAGCACGATGGCGGGCGCCGTCAGCGTGGCGAGGCGGGCGCGCACGTGGCGGATCAGCCGCGTGGCTTCGTACAGCGAGGCGGCCGACAGCCGCGCGGCGCCGACGGCGGAGACCTTGTCCGACGTCATCGCCTGCTCGACCCAGGCGCGCAGGCGCTCGTTCTTCAGGCCGAAGGGCGCCGTCTCCTTGAAACTCATGCGGCGGCGCAGCACCGGCAGGTAGGCCAGCGGCAGCAGGCGGCGCCAGGGCGACACGTTCCAGCCGTCGAAATGCAGGGTGGTGGAGATCAGCACCAGCGCGGCAGCCGGGCGGCGCGCGGCCAGCGCCATCGCCAGCACCGCGCCCATGCACAGGCCGCCGATGGCGACGCGGCCAT